ATTACGTGTTTATACTTAATTGCTTATTTTATTTGCATTTGTACTGGAGTGAGCGATATTCCCTCTGACGTCGATGGTGAGGAGTTGAATATAATGAAGTAAGGTACATTTATTTCTTATTTCACTGGAAAAAAATGTTTTTCGAATTTTTTGTGCCGGGTTGTGACCCTCCCCTCCAGAGCGTTCCTTCACCCAGTGAAACACGACATCTCATTACTGTTAAGGATGTGAAATGATGCAGACAACATTTTTCTTGATCGTTGTCATTTTGCTGTCTGGGCAGGCAGGTAAGCATGATCTAATTCCATACTGCGCGTAGCTAATCATTCTCAATTTTAGTTTCATTTCACTTACTCGTGATCATTTTTTTCAGTTAATTATCATTTTTCTTAACTAAAAATCATTCATATAGTTTAAGAATGGGTTCTCACAGATTTAGATCAATCCATTTGGATCGGGCTAACTCCCCGGGGGATCACACAAAATTGCTGTCATATACATGTATATATAAAGTGCTTAACGAATAATGTACCGGCTTCTTCCTTGCACAGCACAAAAACAAATCTTTCCGATTTTTCAGCCTCCGCGGAATGACGTCGGAGCAGTGCAAGCTGGCCTTTACAACGCGCGACTGAGTACCCCTTTCTCTTTTACACGGCCTTTCAACAGGCGTAATCTCGTTCGTCTTTCTTCGCGACTGAACAACGTTTTTCCGCAGGGGTCCTGCCTTGGTATTATGTGACGGTCGTTATCGGATTGTGACTGACATTTAAGAACATGAGATTTCAATGGAACTGAAAGATTTATATTGTTAATTCCTTTCAAAATTTCATTTTATTATCTTAGGTGCGCTACATGTATATACTGTCGAAAGACGTGATCATTTCGATCATAAGAACATCTCTCCTGAGGAAGCTTCCCCCGAGGGCTTATCATATTTTGTTATTCATCATTTCATTTCTCTTTGCTGATTTATCCCTAAAAGTTGTATTTTATCTATCAAATCCAGTCCAATTCACAGTCGTCTCAAAAACCATTTAAAATTTATATAGATTGCTTGGAAGCGATATCAAAGTCTATTTAAAGCATGGTTATTATTTCCATAAAATTGCAATGAATTATAATGAATAAGACTTGGTCAAAGGCCATGCTGTTTGATTATTAAAAGTTTGGCCGCGACCTTGAATAATGCAACTCTGGCTGCAGCAACATAACTGACTAGCATTTAACTTGTCGCTTGTACTATAGAAATTGTTAATCACACTTGCGCTTACAATCTGGATTTTATAGGATACGTTTTAAGGTGTCTCCGGAGTAAAAATCATTTCACTGAAATCATGATACACAGTCAGTGTATTTTTAATTTTTTATTTTTTCCATTAATAAGGTGTATTAATAAAGATTCCTTAGACGATCGCGATTTAGACTGCGGCAGTTAAATAGATCTTAAGTTTATTACACTGATGGACGTAGTGCTTATGCATCGAATCAGCGTGTGCAGTGGTGGAACCAATCTTTAATTAATAAGGGAGTTGGAAGAACCAGCGGGTGACCGTTAAACGTTCTAATATTTAATCAACACTGAGCGGAGAACAAACAAAAAAGGATAAAGATGTGTCACTCTATGCGCTGGTGGCCGGGGAAATTTCAACAAAGCCCGACTAACAACAATGTACGTCACGGCCACCTTCAATATTTCATCTAGCTAAAAGACGAAAACAAAAATACTTTAATACCAATGTTGACTGGAGATGCATTAGAATTTTTTTTTATTTGATGAATTAGGCTTCGTTCACATACAATGTCTATTTTCTAAATTCTATTTTCTATTCGCGCTATCTTATGATCACGGTCTGTGCCCTGAATATCCCGCCGCGTAATTACTGGCAGCGCGAGCCAGTTACTTATAGTAACTTATAGTAACTGGCTCGCGCTGCCAGTAATTACGCCGCGGGATATTCAGGGCACAGACCGAGATCATAAGACATACCGCGAATAGAAAATAGAATTTAGAAAATAGACATTGCATGTGAATGAAGCCTAAGTATTGCCCCACAACTGATCGTAGTACATCCCACGATAAGATTTCGCTCGATAGACCATGTCTAGAACCATTAGTAAACCATTAGTTCT